GAAAGTGCATTTTCCTTAGGTGATACATCAAACGGTGCCTTATCAGACAACAATGCTAATAGTGATCATATTAACTCAATAGAACTTAATAAACAAGTATTAATGGAACGTATTATCAAGCTGCAAGATATAAATGTAAAAAGAGCTGAAAAGTTAGATTTTTTCAAAGAACATACGCAGACGTTACTCGAAGATATACAGAAGAAAGAAAAAATAATACAAAATTATATTTTAAATCAAAACTTTGGAGCGTTGACATGTAATAAGAGTGATAAATACAAGGTTTGTATATAAACATAAAATATTTTTTTTAGTTAATTATAATTTATCGTATTTATATACGTAGAGAATAGATTTAGTAAAACTAGTCTGTTTAAAAAAAATCATTATATTACTAAATCTAAATTTTTATAATGATAGATATTTTCGTTTTTTATATCCAAGCATATCAAAAGCCGAAGAGATATCGTAAGTGTCAAAAAATAGGTTTTTTTAAATAATGTTAAGAAGCATTGTCAAACAAAATTATTAATTTATTTATTTATAATAATTATTTATTTATACAATAATATTTAACTTTATTTATATATTCTAAACAAGCGTATATATATTTGCAGGCAGAATTGGCACGACGTGGAGGTATAATGGCATCTGTTTATAATCATCGAGTTTCAGATGAGAATATGACTCTAGAACTTTCCTTGGAAATAAACCAAAAGTTACAAGCACTTTACGAAGACGCATTACTAAAAAATATCACTTTAAAGGTAAATGTATCAAAAATTATAAATATGAAATGAAATTTTAAAAATGTGACATATAATATTATTATACATGTGACTCATTGTATGTTAAAACATTTTTGGAGTATTCTATCTACATTTTATACTAAAGATTTTCATGTATTTTCATCTAGTAAGTTGAAAAATTTTTAGAATCATGTTTTATTTCTTGGTATTTAGTCTTAAAATTCTGTATTGTAATATATCGACTTGATTAAAACGAAGGAAATTATTTTTGCTCCAAAAAATGACTCTTGTAAAATTGCAATATTTTTTTTTTATTATTTTAGATAGACAACGTTATTGAGATTATTTATCGTTGTTTAATATAATATTCTTTTTCAGGAAAATATTGATACATTAGGTCAAGAAATAGCAAAATTAACAATGCAACATCAACAAAAATAAATTGACAATTAATAATTATTAGTTATTATATATATATAAAACTGTGTATATATACACATAGACACAACGTATACATGAATTATATATATATGTATATATATGTATATTACAGTATCATTTTATTTCAAATTGCATTTTAAAATATTTGTATTTATGTAGATTTATTTATTATGTCTAATTAAATGTTTATATATTATGTATACACACACACACACACACACACGCGCGCGCGCGTATATTCAATACATTGCAAGCGAAACATTTTTTTTTCAATGCTTCATAATAAATTCAGACAAACAAAATGTTTAACGTCACATTATGTATTATAAAGTTGTTTAAAGAAAATGAGTGTTTTATTTAACCGAAATTAAATTAATTCCTCATACACTTTACGCTGCAAAAATGAATTTTATTAAAATAATTTAAAAAAAAAACGATTAAAATTCATATATTTTTGTTTCCTTTTATCTATTTCAAGGAAGAGGTATTGAAGGAAGTGACAAAACAATACGCGAGAATCTGGTAAATAAAAGTTTATTTTGTAATTTCAAGATAGTTGATCTAGATTGTTTTAATTTCTAAATTACTTATATCTAGAGGCACTATAGTCAAGCTTAAAATCTAACCGACTACAAATTCATATTACACTCGACAGTTATGATACTTGATTTTTGCTCAGGATCTCGACTATAGTACATATTTGAGCGTATAATGAATTATAATCGAAGTAAAATTGACTACATTTAATAATTAATATCTCTACAACTTACTTTGAGTGGTTTACTTTGGGTCTTTTTTTTTATTCTTTTGGGAATGAACTGTTATACTCTCTTTCTCTCTCTCTCTCTCTCTCTCTGTGTGTGTGTGTGTTCTAGATCATACTATACTATATCATATACTGTATGTGCGATAATAAAATGCAATTATATTCTGTACGTAAGATATTCGCAAACTTACGTTTCGATGGAAGAAGAGATCAAAAAGAAAGACAATACCTAGTCTTATCCTAATTTTATTTAATAAGGTACGCTATATTATAAATTCGAACTCGTTTTCCGTATTGCATATTTAACGATAAAATACGTCTTTTGACAGTAATTTTCAATACATACCTAAAAATGACAGTAGTACGTTTAATATCTAAAAATGATCTAATAGTTAAAATCACCTCGTTTCTTTTTTCAAATATAATCAATAACATTATTAAAATACTGCAAATAGTAATACTGATAACTAATGCCGCAATAATAGTAAGAACGCCGAGTTTTAATGCTTACATTACTTCGAGTGTCATATGTAATGATAGAGAGAATCTATAGAATAATAGATTACTGCCTGTTTTATGTCACATACTATTTTTTTTATAGAATATTGCAATGTTTTCGAACTTTAAATCATGCTCAATTTGTAAGTATATTTTTCTATGCGAACAATAACACACGAGTGAAGATTTAGAACAAATTTTTTAATCTTTCCATTCTTTTTTTAACATTTTCTTATTCTTTTGTTCTAAATAAGCGTCATTAGATGGATGTAAACAAATTAAATATTTTCCTTTTTTTATGTGCAATCGTGCAATCCTTTCTGAGAAAGTGATTATTTTCGCTAGTTTTAAAAATGTACTTCCAAAGCCTAGATTTATTTACTCTGTAATTATCTGCATACTACTGAAATTCAAAAATAGCATTAAGCATTTTACGGTTAATATACAAACAACATTGAAAAATATGGCAAATTAGACAATAAACAAGCAGTTATAGCATGATTCGCGACAAATGTCTTTTCGCACGTTCTATTGAATAAAGGCGCAAGGAAGTAGAAGAGAATGAAAGAAAAATCGTTCAATATCTCGTGAATACATTTTCAATTGAATAATAAATTAAGACAAACAATTCTTACAATAGATGAACAATTATTTTGTAAGTCATATCAGACAGTAATCTCAGATATTTCAAATAAAATAATACCTTATAAATTTTGTAACGTAACTGCAGCGCATTTACAATAAGTTATAATTACGTGAATCATACATGTAAGGGAAGGTATCGCACTGTCCGTGTATGGACAAGATGTTTTAAAATTATATGTTATAATAAATAGTTTTGTTTTTCTATATGCAGAATATCTTCTAGTATACATTTATATACACATATAGACATATGTATACATCATTTACATATACACACATATGCAAATGCATATACGTAATACATGTATATTTTATTAATATACATATGTGTATATGTGTATTGAAAGATATTCTCTGGAAAATAAAAAAAATTATATTGATGAGGACATATTGAAGCATTCTTTCTAGATAGTATGATACTTGTTTGCGTGACATAGCGCATATTAAATAATTTTTTTCACCTTTACTATTGAATACCTATATTGTTTTGTCGATAAAATGTCTGTTAGAAAACAGATGAGGAAAAAACAAAGCAAAAATTCATTGAGCTGTTGATGCGTATTGCGCTTGGCACAAATATACGGTTGATATCACATAATGATTATAATATACGTGAGCCAAACACTTCGTCATCACACGCAATTTATTTTATGGAAACAAGAACCACAGAAATGGAAATGGAATGTATCTCGCGTTTAAAAAAGTAAATAAATAAGCTACTTCTTGGCGAAGTTTTCAAATACTCCAATAATCTTAACCTGAGAATCTCGTCAGTATATTAGTTGATTATCATTATATTAATTGAAAAATGTAAAACATTTGTGACGGTCGCTATAAAATCAATTGCGTGTGTGACATACGCTTAACAAAAAATCTTTTAGAAAATATTTAGCCGAAATAAGAACAGATTTATAATTTAACATGATTACTTAGATAATTCTAAAATAATACGGATTTTTGTTTGCTTTTCCTTGCACATTAAACCATATTAAATAAGTTCTTTATGCAAAACTGGACCGATGCGGGCAGTGTGTCACTACGGCAGAATTGCACGATGTTAATACTGGCACAGTGAGGCAATGACCTAGGATTCTCTCTAAATATACTATGAGTACTTATTAACATATTTATCTGGAAAACTATGTAATCATTCACGTCACGTAAGTAATTATTATTGTGTTCTTTCTATACCATCAATCATTTACATTGTTTAAAACTCCTGTACACGTATATTTAATATATACGTATAGAAAGAGTAATAACCAATCGTTACATTGAACGGGCTGCGGACAGTTGCAACTTGACATACATATAAAACAAGTCCTAATTTAGAAAATCAGATAAAATCCTATCACAGAATCTAATAAAAAAGTGCATGTGCTCTAAAATCATGTTCCATTATTTATTGCCTCAAGTTTTTTTTATATGAGTATTCGACATTACTGCTTTTTACGTGAAACTGAATGTGAAGGAGCTAATTTTCGTGATTTTAGAGCTTACTGCTCGCGAAGAATAGTGTATTGTTTTAAAGCATACAATTTTTATAATAGTTATTTTCTTTTATTACATGTAAAAGATGACAATCGCAGTCACCATTTTCAATCATGCACCTTTTTTTATAATTCCTCGATAAAAATTTATCTGATCAACGTAATCAGGATTGTATAACAAAACATACGAATACCTATTATAATTCTAATATTGAATACTTGCGTTCTTAATTCATTGTAAATATTTTTGCGCAATCTTCTTTTGTAAACATCGGAAGGTAATCATTGAAGTTATATTTCCGAATGTATAGCAGAAATAATATTTCCGATTCTAACAAGAATAATAATATACAAGAATAAAATAAACAAAATTATAAATTGCTATTGTAATAAAAAGTTGCAATTATTATGCAAACATTCATAAGAAATTCTGTCCTGCCATTTTCATTGAATTTTGCAATTATTACTTTTTACGATTAAGATCATTTGTCAGATCTGAATCCAATCACAGCCGTTGAAGATGCAAGGTGCAACTTAATTCGTTGCTACGATACCTAATGCCCTACAAAAAGATCCCAGATAGCATTTCGTGTGAACTCACAAATAATAAAATTCTAAGTTTCGGATATTTCGAGATAGAAACATGCAAGATCGTGATTGACGCCGTTAATTTGCCTGCACACTTACGCAAGGATATGTTTATACTATATGATACATGAATGTTCATGTCATGTCACGTGCGTATAGTATTAGATGCATTACACTAAGTGACAAATTATAATTTTGTTGAAAAAAAAAGATTGCGATTTCGTACAATTTTTTGTAAAATTTGTGTACGTTTGACGTAGAATGTTATCTGGGGACGTCGTAGGTACAATGCCTATTTAAGACACTAATGTTTGCCTCTTAAAGCTATTTCGAATTCAAAACTATATATTCGAAATTATGACCAATTAGCCATATAGTTTATGCAAGTATATCATTGGACAAAGAGTAAAATACAGGAATGTCGATAACATGACAAAATTTTCTTGCATGAAAAGATTACAGATTTATCTAATATGTCCTTTCAGCTGTTTCATATAGTGCAGCAAAATTAGAAAAGTGATGAGAAGTAATACGTTGTAAGTATGCTAATATTACGAAATTCCGCATAGATATGTGCTGACTCGACTTTTTGTCAATAATATTTATTGCTATTAATAAATCAAAATAATGCAAGTTTTGATGCAAATCTTCCTATCGACTACACCGTACACAACGAAATTATTAATAATTATCAATAATTCGTAATACATTCTGAACACGGTAAATATATCGAGATCATAGGGCGCAAAAGAACACATGCACGAGATCCTACGATTTATGCTTTACTGATACCAAATTCTGCCATATCATGACACGCCGAACGAGCGATCTATTTTGCACTAGGAACTACGTATCCGATAAGTGGACTTTTTGCATTTTTTGTTATACTACTGTTACTCTGATTTAGTCAGATATCGACATAGAACTCGTCCTGTTCTTGCGGCTTTTTCACCCAAGTTCCAAGCTGTGCTTTCGTGAAAGCATCCTTCAATTGAGTTTTGGCAAGCTATTTAAGAAAAAGACAAGATATGCTACATAACGGTGCATGAAATATAAAGTATAACAAACAATATTTCATACATATTGTTATGTATTGTCATTAATATCAAAGTTGTACTTACGGAGTAATCTTGTGCTAAAGATTTTGCATCCAAGTATAGGCGACAACCTTCTTCGTCAACATTGTCTATAGTCGGAAGATTACGTAAGAGATTAAAGAACCGCTTGAAGAATGCTTGTTTACATAACCTAGAAGGTTTCCCCACTTCATCTTTGCCAGTTGTGCAACTTAGAACTTCGGCTTCGTTTTGTCCTGAGGTGATAAAAAATATATATATTCGTTAAATTATTTTACATATTTCTTTCTATGAGAGATTAAGAATATTGTACAAACCGAGTGTCCAATTGACGCTGTAATTAGGCGCTTTTCCAGGTTGTCTGATCTCATTAGATGTAATTAGACTCATTAAAGGTTTATTAAGTCTATATGGCGGTGGTAAACCCTGAATAGTGTTCTCAATGCGACCGCATATCGCTCTGTACATATGACTCGGATTTAAGAGACTGCCAAGGACAATGCTGTGGAAGTAAATTGGCTCGATGAAGTGGCTTAAGAGTGCACCTTGCACACCAAGTACGTTCCACCGAGCTATTTTGTCCGAACACGACATTGTCAGCAGTCTTGTACCCTTTAAATTAGATTTTAAAGTAAAAAATCGATAAAAAGCAATCTGAGTATTTTTTTTTTTCAATATTCTGCAATGTATGATTGCCTTTAACATAAATAATACATACTGCAATTACACCATCCCAGGTTTGAATACCCTCATTACTCTTCACAGGAATAGTCCCTTCACCAGATTCTATCTTCGTACGTAATTGACCTCTAGCTCGTCTATTGGGATGCTTGTCTATGGCATCGTTCTCTTCGTGAGGTGAGAAAATTCTCGCATCACCACAAGGAGCGGTATTTATATATAAATGAAATCGGATGCCTTGCTTCAATTTGAATCCTTTTTTAGCTGGCTCGAGAATAGAATCAGCATTGTTTTCATTTCCAATGTGCAAGTCTAGTTGATTGTAAAGATATTCACAAAGACATCGTCGTGCTATTACTTCCGCATGACAATCATTTATACCACTACCGCTTCGACTTAAATGCTCGCCTGAGATGCATTTCGTACCTTTTACAAAAAAAAAATATATTTTACTAAATACAAATGTTTTATTGTCCTAGATTTTTGTTTAAATATTGTAGAAGAAATAAAATAAATTTATATCTTACCGGTGGCAACACATATCAATTCTGCATCTTGCCCTTTCGTTATTACAATACCAGCCAAAACTTTACGTCGTGCGTGTTGCGGTTTGGTTACCATGAGTTCACTAAATTTCTGATTAACCATCTTGCCAATTTGGTCAGCTAGCATTTGCGGTAAAGACATTTCTGGAGAGGGAAAGTTGATGCGAACAGGATATGATAAACAAAACGAAGAACTATGGACATTTCGCAATTTTGCTAAAGCAGCTTTACTAGCTGCGGCTTTTGCCAGTTTCTTACTTGGGCCCGTTCCCTCGAATGTCTCACCATTAATTGTTACCGATATTGTAAACTTTGCATAACTTTCTCCGTTATCGGATATACAGTTATATACGACGCCCGGATATAATTCGTTAATCAATGCCACTGGACCTTTATCTAAAAACTTATTAGTATTCTTTGGCTCCTGTGTTAATGTTTTAAATGCATTGACAAGATGGTTATCACGTTCAGTCACGTCGCTCGTAAAATCTGGCTCAAGAGGCACAACAGGCTGACAAGTATTGATAGCTTGGTGAACCTCAGGTGTATTTCTAAACTGGACAATGTTTCGTAAAGCAAGTTCAGCGGCTGCATGCTTTGCCATCTTCTTAGTACGTCCTTTTCCTTCGTACGTCTGACCATCAATTTGTACCGCAATCGTGAATATTGGAGCGTGTGTAGGTCCAGTTTGTCCAACAACATTGTATGTAGCTCCGGTTTTTAATTCGTTTAATGCACATACAGCGTTTTTTGGTTGTGGATTTTTATGACGCTTTTTAGCGCTGATAATATCTGATTAAATAATAAATTAAAGTTTATTACTTTTGTGTTATCAAATAAATATTAAACATTAAATATACAAACGGGAACACACAGCCTGGCTATAAATATAAAATACCTTCAATTTATTTTATTTTTCTGGAAAAGACGATAGTAAAAATCAAATAAGGACTAACGAAATATTAAAATTGTTATAAAAATATTTTTCAATAAAACTGTATTGTCTAATTTATTTTTCGTTATACATAGGACATTTACGTCAATTTTGTGGGGATGACTTATATTTACAACAAAGGCTGTAGAATATTCTAAATTTTTTATAAAATTTTTGATATGCTATACATTATATATATATTGTGTGTGTGTGTGTGTGTGTGTGTGTGTGTGTATGCATATATAAACCTACCTTCTAAATCTACTTCTGAAGATCTCTTAAGAACTTGAGATTTGGGTAAATTTCCATGTCCCATCTGCAAGATAAAGCCATGAAAATAACTGTGACATCATACTGATTATTTTACTTGAACTCTCTGCAATACTTGACTTATCATTATCAATATGAGAAATCATAAAAGAAACTTGCAATTTTTTTGTTGTTAAAAGTTTTAATTCCAATTTTTTAACTCTGCTAGTCTGTTTAGATCTATTTGATTCAAAATAATGTTTTCTTAATATTTTATTAAAAATATTTATTATAGCATTTATACCGGTTTGAAAATATCTGATATTCTTTTTGTGACTCCATTATTCTAAAAAAATAATTTTTTTATATTTCTTTTCCAAAAAACTGTAAGGCAAGAAGTAAATATTTATCTAATCTAGTATCATTCTTTTTAATTTGATTTCATACTTTGTTTAATAAATAAAAACTAATAACTGACAGGTAAGTGTCTCAAGATACAACATCTTTTATCTCAAGATAATCTCTGTACACAAATTTTTATCTTAAATATTACCAGATTTCAGCTAACTTAATTTATGCTGTTTAATTTTGTTATAAATTAATTAAAACTATCTCTAATAAAATTGTATCTTCTCACCTGTTAGTGAGCCAATACATTGCATTGTGTCTTCAGAAATAAAAGAGAAACTTTTACTAGAATAAAGTGTGACGACTTAAAAATGTGTATAGAATAGCATTTTTATATTTACTAGAGATAAAAATGCTATTCTACACATTTTTAATTCATCTTACTCACCTCTAAGTTAAAAAAAAGTTATCTGGATATTTTCTATTCAAATCAAGTCAAAAATTTCTACTTTCTCTTATTTCTGGTGAAAAAAAATTAAACAAATTCAAATTAAATTCTACAAAAATTTCTACTTAGCTAATGCAGACCACTTTGATCAAATCTGTTAAGTCACCTTATTCTCTCACTTTTGATAAAAAAAAAGTTGTTTGAAGGAATGTATTGGAATTAAAGCCTACAAAAATTTCTACTTAGCCAAATATCACAGACCACTTTGATCAAATCTATTAAGTCAGCTTTCTCTCGTATTTCTAATGAAACAATGCCAGGTGTTCACTAACAGGTGAGAAGATGGCACGCTTTACGTTAGGAATTATTAAATTCATCTCGATTTACCTGCGTCGCATGGCCACTGGACGAGTTCTCTGACAGTGTATTACCGTTAGCAGGAGTCATGGACGCGCATTCTGAAAAGAAGAAAAATAATGTAAGGCGTATAAACACACGGGAGTATACACTGCAAGTGCATCGCGAGGAAAATCAATAGAGCCATCTCGTACTTGTCGGAGCCGATTGTTGGTTGTTATTCAACAACGCCAGCCCGTTCGACATGATGCCGCTTCTCACTCGGGAAAAGAATGATACCTCGGAGTTAAACACAAGCGGATAAATCGTACGTTCGCACGTGCGACCGCGTGTCAATACGAATAAACACTTAGCGTCAGTTATTCTGGCATCCCGAAAATCCGCAGCGCCATTGTCGTTTTTTTTCGCATAATCGACCTAACCTGATATCCCCCAGAGAGATGGCCCCGCCGATATCCGTATTGTTGCCGTCGAGAAAACGTCACAAACGCCTCGTTTCCACTCGTTTCGCTTCGCCGAGAATGACTTTTCGTCATATATCGAAGGACACGCTTCGAAAACTTTTGGAAAGAATACTTGCTGAATGTGTGCGATCACTGCGATTCTTATACGCGATTACTTTACGAGATCCCACCTATTCGCGAGTTGACCGCATAAATGGCGTTTTTCGAGCGCTGCGAGCACTCTAGAGAGTTTATACTGAGTTTACCGAGCGCAAATTTGCGCAGGAACGGGGAGAGGAAATCTGAGAAGAGGGCGGAAGAGGAAGAAGGAATTGAGGGAAGTAATTCGAAATTCTGAGATATTTTTCCCGAAGTGAGATAATTGTCGTACTTCGCGCCTTAAAAAAGAAAAAGAAAAAATCGTGCTTTCAGAATTTCAAAATCCGATCGCGAAAATAGAATAGGTTTTGACTCCCTCTCGTGGCGATTTCTCATGATCGGTTACGTGTACATGATATATGTGATGTGATACATATATCGCTTTTCTTAGTATTTCCTACTTTCTTCTCTCCTTTCATTTAACGGGCCAATGCAAATTTAGCGTCACGAGATGCAGCGAACGTTAAAAGTTATACATACAGAAAATACATGCTGTATGCAAATAATTACTTATTTCAAGTATTCAAAAGTATCCGCAAACCCTCATCGTAAGTTCATCACAAGCAACAAATTTATTCAAAATATTATATATTTTTAATCTTAATAAATTTAATACTTTAATTAAGATTATTTAATTAGAACTCGATTTGCTTTATTATATAAAATCTCTTTTTCAATTATTTTTATATCTTTATAATATTCAAGAAAGAAAATTAATTCTGAATTTGAATACATATTAACAAGTTCGTCTAAAATTTATAATAAATATATTCTAAGATTATTAGAAGAAAATATTCTTTTGTTAAAGATAATTGAAAAATAAGAGAAAGTAAAAAATTGAGTAATTACTTTTCGTAGAATGATATTTGTCTGTGTGCTAAGCTCGACTCATTCACATACAATTTTCGCAGCATATAATATGTGCCTAAAGAAAAAGATTTCTTCGATTCAAAGAAATGTTTATTTGCTACAGTTAAAGAAAAAAATTTCTTTGATTTAAATGTCATTTCTTTGATTTGACATTATTTATTGATTTTAAATAAAAAAATTTATCTGATTAAGAAAGAGATTAAGTTTAAATCAAAGAAATGACATTTAAATCAAAGAAATTTTTTCTTTAACTGTATAGCAAAGAAACATTTCTTTGAAGAAATCTTTCTCTGGATGTATAAAGAATAGGTCTAATCTATTCTTATAGAAGTTCAAAATAAAATAAAAGAGAAAAGATTTTGCAGCATTCTAAAATTCTAAAATTTTAGATAAAATAAGTATCACGATATATTTCATTTTCTTTATAATACTTTTTATACTTTTCAATTGAAAAATTTATAAGTCGACTAAACTTCAATTATTTAATTTTATTCCATACTTTTCTACGAATATTTAGCAAAAGTCAAGCAAAATTTCGATATTTTTTAATTATTCTTATTTGTCATTTAATACTAGCCAATTTAATATTGGATACGTTTGATGGACCAATGCAAATTTAGCGTCACGTCCGCTGCATGAAACGCTGTGAACATTAAAAGCCAAGCCCATCCAATTTCTACTCGACCATACACTTGCACAATATAGTCAAAGAGGTCTGATCTACCCTTATAAAATATTGGCCAATTTAATATTGAAAATTATTATTTATTTTGAGTATTAAAAATATTAAATAATGTTTTTAATGTTCACAATAAATAATTATAATCAGTATCTTGACATACAAATTAAATAATATTTACATTTCGTGCAATGGACATGACGCTAAATTTGTATGGTCCGTCGAATGTTTCGAATTCTGCATGCAATCTTCCAGTACTAAATTTCTGTAAGGTTGATCTGGTAAGAATTCTAGAATTATAAATTTTAGATTAAAATATCACAAAACATTTTTTGAAATAATTTATTATTACTTAATTTTCTTTATACCTTTTTAATATATTTTTTTTGACTTCGCGTCCATTTGAATGTATCTACATTAAGATTCTTTTCATCGATAATATTGATACGGTTATATTACCCTTGTGCATCCTTTTTTCTTTGTATATAATACTATTTACTCAATGATAATATAACGATATCGATATTGCCGTTAAGAATTACAAAATTCCAAAACTGAGAAAGTATTCTGTATACATCTGAATCCTGAGAATTCTATTGAGAAATATGCAGTGACAAATAACATGGGTATCTATTGTGCTCAACAAAAGGTGTATTTGCTTTCTTCTGCCTATTCAAGATAACACGACGTCGGGCGAAATCTCGAATATCTTTATCTCGAAAAACTTCTAGAAAAAGCTGTTTCTAGAAAATTCATTTTTTTGTAAAGAATTTTCATTTAATCAACTTATTTTCCTTCAATCGCTAGTCGCCAAATCGCAATATCGTATTAAAAATTAAGAGACCATTATAATTAATAATATTTTTGTTATCTATTTCTTTAAACTATACAAATGAAAAATTAATGTCAATATGAGACTGTGAACACAATGCTTTTTAATTTTTGCATTTCTGTGAAAAAAGTTTCTATTTTATAACAAAAATTATTAAAAAATAATAATGTTTAAATTAAATAATTTTAATAAAATAAAAGAGAAAAGATTCTAAAATATTCTAAAAAATTCGAGAATTCTAGATTAAAATATCATAACGTATTTTCTATTTTATTTCCTTTATACTTTTTAAATACTTTTTTTACTTTTCAGTTGAAAAATTTACTTTATTATTTAAAATCGATTAAAGTTTAACTCAATTCAATTTTATTTCATATACACTTTATTTAGCAAAAGTCGAAAAATTTCGATTTAATTACTCTTATATCTCTTCTAGATATTATAATATCTAGAATTAGAATACTAATTATATTATTAACGAAAAATCTCTCACTTACTTTGTAACGTTTTGTATTTTTTCACTATAGCTTCAACGTAAACAGTATCTCGCACACCACGTCGCACGATCTCATTGTAGCCGATGGAGAGAATGTCCGGGTCATCAGCAAAGAGTTTCCGATTGAAGCACTTGACGATCATCCGCAGATCCATGTGATTGATCAGGAGTGTTAATTTCTTTAGCAAACCCTTGCGAGAGAGTTGGTGTAAACGCGCACGCCACGTGACGTTACACACGTGGTAGAGGCGCGTCGAACGTTGCACTACTATGCGTGTTACCATGATTACAATTTCATAAAGGTCCTTCCTTACAAGTTTACTCATCTTACAAACACGTATCAAAACCGAAAACAATAACTTTAGTAGAGCGGGGTGAAACGTATATCTCAACAAATTATTATATGAACAAGTTTTCACTTAACGATAACAGTCGCGGAACAGTAAAGCGTTTATCTTAAATTAATTTTAAAAAAATGATTGCTCGCACGATAACGATAACGACAAATTGATACGATTCCCGACACCCGGAATGTAAAAACCACATCAATTTGTCACTACTGTTACGGCAAATGAGACCTCTCTCATCGACACGTTCACCGTCGGATATTTATATGTAAGCACAGATCTATCACGCATCGTTTGGGGAAGGCGATAAGGGTTTCGTGCGAGAGCAATGTAAACATATTTATCCACCTTTATTTCTAAACAGTACGCTTGCTTCAATAGCGGTCTATATACGTATCGATCTTACGTGTCTCAAGAGAGTACAAGTTCAAGAAGATACGAAATAAATTTACAGTGTTTTCTTCTTTAATGAAAATTAATTTTTGATGAGAAATCTTTTTTGGGTAAGAATTCTTGCACTGAACATTCGTTGAATGTCCGAAACGCACTGAACTGCAGAATATGTGGAACTGTCCTTTATGTACACGATGTTCTTCTGTACTGGACTTTGAACTTTTCTTTTTTGCTTTTGTCAAATAGATATATGGTCTAGAATTTTCTTTCATGACTAGAAATTTCAAGAAAGAACAAAGAAGAATGCGTAACTAATTTATCAAAAGAAATACCTATACATTTTCAATACTAGTCCTATTCTGAAGTATTATACCTGTATGAATCAATATAAAAACATTCTTGTGCTTTGTTAAATACTCCTTTATTAAATTTTACTAAAAAAATAAGATCGTTCAAGTATTGGTTAAAAAGAAAAAAAGAGATTACATGCAAATGCTATTCACAAATTTATAACATCCTAGTGAAAATTGTGAAGCGTGTTCTTTACATTTTCTTAAAATCGAATCAAATATCAAAGATATTTTATAACTTTTCGAATTTTTTATAAATTAGTCAAACTATTTGTAATTTTGAAATTAAAAATCTGTTTTTTGTGGTTGAATTAATTACACTTGTTGTATATTAATTCAAAACGAAATAATGTATATATACATATAATTGGCGAAAGTGAGATAGAAAGTTTTGAAAATATTAGGTGTTGGAATTAATTCGTAGCGTTTTTAATGAAAGAATGTTATTTATTTCACATGAGCATTAAAAAATACATTAATGAAAGTACTTCCCATCACTTGTAAAACGCTACGAATTAATTCCAACACCTAATACAATAATAAAAAACGGACTTTAATTTCACTGTGAGAATTTAAGAAAATAAAGTTCTATGTTAGATGAGATTTTAATTTATATTTTACCTCTAAAAGAAACTCTCTAAAATCTCTACAAAGGAATTAATAATAATAGATATATTTAATAATAATAGATATATATAATAATAGATAGATTAATATTTTACTTTTGATGTTATTGTACATTGATAAATTTCATGTCTTTCCTTCTGTCTTCGTTATCTTTTTATTACGTGCATTCTTATTCCTCACATTGCTTTTTTACGTGAGAAAAAGAAAAAATATAAAATGAACATTTAGATAAAGAATTGAAAGAATCTGGTTAGTCATGCCCTATTTTAATTGTTATATTTTGATGCAACGCATCAATTTTGATATATTATTAGACAAAATATCTGAATAAACCTAACGATTTTCACATTACTATTTTTTCAGTATGCGATTTAATAAGTTTTACCACAAATGCTTCGAAGTATTTTTTTAACCTTTTTTAATTAAAAAAAGAAAAGAATTTTACGAATTGACTAATCAAAGGATATTTTAAGCATTTGTAGTATGTTGACTGTATACTCTTAAACAGACAATCGAAACAAAAATAAAAAAATGTTATGAATTGGCCACGTTATTTTAACTATTGGAAATTTTCTTTGCGCTTATTGAATTACATTTTTAGATCTAAATATTGGATTATATCTTTAGATTATATCTAAAGTCCTATCTCGGTGAAAAAAGATTCCAACTGTTTCAAAATAAATGTTCTGCGGGCAATTATTTTGTCTCTTTTTTTTATTTGCGTCATACGTCTACGTAGTGATGCGTTATTGCAATAAAACGCCTGGATATATACAGCAATATAAAGAAGTATGTGATTTTTAAAGACTATATATATAGTTCTTATAGGATCTCTAACTTTTTAGTTTCGGTTATTCTTATTTTTTTACACAGATTTTAGATGATCTGAATTTTATTTTCAGCCAATATTGCATTTTGCTGTATTATTATTACAGAAATTGAATTATTGTTAAATTATAATATAATAATGGGAATATTTCAACTGTTTCAGGAATCCCGATATAACCTGACATAATTTATTCAAATTTTAATATAATATTATGTAGTATATAGAAAAATTTAGAGACAGATATTGTACAAATATTGTACAAATATTGTGTGAATATGTATGTGTAATAATATCGTAAATATATATTAATCTAAAATTTAAAATTCAGTGAGAAATAAGCGTTAATTATCATCAATGTTACATCGTATTTATGTATGATGTACGCAGGATTTCAATGAATGGAAGGTGGGAAGAGGGAAGGGGTCAAACTCTATCTTCACACACAAAATTTATTAAAACATACCTATATTACAGCCTCTTCAGCGAACTTTTTTAATACTTCTTCCACCAGCTTCTCTTTCTTCGCAAGCATCATTTTTTTTTTTACATACACTTAACATACAAAGTCCGTTGAGGCGATTTTCCGACATTGACCGCAACCAGGTTTATACACCTTCGCAATGTACTAAGTGACCTTTCAATTGTACTCGTTATGCACAATTGAAAAGTTGAGCTAAAGAAATATGCAAAGTATGTTTCGTTGCTGTTGGGAAGAAAGTTTCAGCTTCTTTTAATAGCTGCATTGATTTTAATTCTTTGAGTTCTTCTTTTTTAATTTTTTTATTCCTTCAGAGAATGTATCATAGTTCGGCTTCATTGTCAAAATTACTCAAATTGTAATAATCAGAAAAATTATATGTGCTTTTTTTTTTAAATCTTTTAATGTCATATCCAACATAATAAAAGGATATAGAGTTAATAATAATCATATACAAGAACTTCAACTAAAAAGAACAGATCTTATTGAAGACTGTCTGTAATGTCTTATAATTAGATGTCTATTGATTTAATGTCTTAAATACTAATACGGCTTTTCCGTTAAAATTTAGAGGGGCGAGACTGCTCCCCCCGTATGCTCATAATCGTATCGATATTGATTCGGCATCAATTCGAGTCATTTCTCGAATAATTTTCAAAATTGAATTTCGAAAGAGGACAATCAAGTTTGGCTAAATTACACAGTTATCTAAATATTCTAAAATGAAATAGCATGGAAAATCGGGGTCTACAATACAAGTCGTAACGATTGTAGGGTCTTAAGTCGTAAAAAATTGACCAAATTGACCAATAATAATCGACTATTTTTCTCATATTGGACTGTGATTGGTTAATTTTCTATGACTTAAAATCCTACGATATTGTTACGACTTCTATTGTAAACCCCGTGTCACTGATACTTCACACACATTTTGTCCTTATTACAAATTTTGTGGAATCAATTCAATCGCGCGCGCGTGAAAAAATATTCACGTATTTGTATTTAGTGTCGAAAGTTCGAATATTTTATATCCACTGAATCATTAATTACATCTTGATTGAGGAAGCGAGTCATTAATTAGAGAAACATAAAGATTAATAAAAAAATTGAAAAGGTAGATTAATAAAAGACATATAACGGCTAATGGGTGAAATAAAAACCGATTGTAAGTGCAAGAAACTGTTCTTAATTATAAGCACATGATGTTTGCTACACTAAGCCTATGCACGACGATGCTTTATGATATGTTGTTACATATAAACTTTTACGCACTTCCTGCATTTATCTTCTCAAGAATTTATCTGTCTTTTTTTCGTGTTTACTGTTTCCCAAGAAAAGGAATTACAATAATACTTACAGCTCATTTTTTTATACATATTTCTGTTTCTCTTACACGCACGTACGATTCCTACGATGACATTAAACTGATTTCGATTAGAGATTTCGTGTCAAAAGATCTAGTTTGATGCATGATTTACGTCGCCGCAGTGGCAGCATCATTTACATCTTCGGATGAATTGGCGATGAGAATTGATATACGATACTTCGATCCTCGAGAAATATTTTTGAAGCATAATGTCTTTAAGCACTTAAATCTCTCTATGATAATCCAGTAAATTCGAAGAAATCGTTCGCGAAGTTATGTTATAATACATCGCAACTTAATATAAGTTACAGTCTATTCCAACTGAAATTAATCCAGTCAAAAGTCTAATCGGGATGATGTCTAAGATACTAACATGATTCAAGTATCAACAACGTAATGTATGTTAAACATAAATGAAATAATCATTCTGCCATGAAAGATCGCTTTAACATGCATATATGAATTAGCAATCCCGTAAAATATTCCAATAAGAAGTGTATGTAAGAGCAGATTAATATAGTTCGATTCTATTTTTGTGGTGTGTGAATCTAATCAGCATAACGTCCCTGCTAACATACACGATATATAGATACACATTCGGATATTCACCGTACCGCCATCTTAGCCGTTCTTACCGGGACATTTCGGATCTCGCGTATTATATATATATATATATATATGTGTGTATATATATATATGTGCATATATAGTTGTGATTATATATAATTATATTATAATTTATAATACAAATACGCGCACACGCGTGTCCAAAGTGCCTTCTTGAATCGGTCGCTACGTGCGTAAGACATTTTATTTCAGTCTTTATAACATTATATAATATCTGGTTGTTCACAAAAACATCGATGTGTGTGATGACCGATACAAGAAATGTCACTTATGGCGTTACACTCCTCCGATATCTCACAAACTGTATTTGCGTCGAGAAGGTGACAAATTATACGTTCACCAGTGGGAGGATGACGTCCAAAACTTAAAAATAGGATCGCAAAATTATCAATGATATATTTTTTTGTTAAACAGAACCTATCGGTTAATGTACGGCTTGCAAAATACTATATATAGTATAATTTTTTTGCAGAGTCACTCTTGGAATATTTGAATTAAAAGAGTAGAGATACATTACATATTTGTTGTGTATCTCGAGTAATAGCAGTTTCCCGGCAAAAACGCACATCAAATAGAAGGCGATATTCATTCGATTTTCGATCCCGTTAGTAGATAAAATCGTGCTGCTACAATCTTTATATATATATATATTTACTACTTCAAAGTTTTCGTTTTTCTTTTTCAACAGTATTATACAATTGTCACAACATATATCTTATACACACAATAAAAGTATTTAATAGATAGAGTTCATTTAATAGATTCTAAGAAGTTAATGCAAATAGTCGTAACGTGGACTATAAATAACGATCAACAATTTGTTTAAAAACAGAAAACAAGTGTGAATAGTAAAATCTATATCTAAGAGTGTGTAGAATATTTACAAGTGTGACGGAAATTATCTTTTTAATTAATTTAATTTCATACATGTCCTCTTTTAAATTAGAGATCGTTAAATCTATTATCGATCGTTTTGTATTTCTCGTATTTGTCGTATCAAATCTTGCAGGCCTCCTAAGTTTTTGTATATTAATTTTCTATTTAGTTT